TTTTGAAACAAAGCACTACGGCATCAAGTTTCCTAGATCAAGCTACTGGAATTTGAAGCGAACCACTTCTTTCTATAAAACTTGACAGTTACCTAATGCTGGGCATATATGATCTGTTTTTAATCATATAAAATTTAGAGAGAAAAAATTAAACAAGAAGAATCTCAAGAATCGAGGAAAAGCTGAGTGTGTCTATATCTTTACAAACGCTAGCACCTAGTCACACATCAAACACGTAGACGTTGTCTTCCACAGATAGTGCCACCCTCAAGACCACGTTTAATCTATTTATAGTCAGTGACCGATCTAATTACATATTAATAGAAATTCTAAAATGCATTTTATATTAGGTAAGATTACTTCAGTAGGTTGGCGATATCGATCATCGTGTGGCATAAGCCAACGACATTTCAGTATATTTTATTTTAAAAAAACATGCTCAAAATATATTTTCACGTATTCATTTGGTGCCGAATCATGACCTTGGTTTTAAAGAATTATTAAATGTGAGAGTTATAAGACGATGCAATGTCCGTTCAAGTAGAATTGTGTCTATGCCTTTATTAAATTTTCCTATGGATTATAGAACATAGCCCACATCCATTGCTTAATTTGACGACCGCTACACATAATTCTAATAAGGGAGAGAAATGTACGCTTTACCTTACACGGAAAGCATACAATTCGCAAATTGAAAAATTTGAACGCAAACGCAAAGACAGATTGGCCTCGAAATTATTTGGGACTTAGAAAACTTATTAAAACAAAAACATAAACTTCCTTTCACCATACAGTTTGACGAAGAGGGGATTTGGTACCGAAGGAGTATAAGGAAGGGTATTTTTAGCATGGTTTCGATTTATTCATAAGAGCATCGGAATTAAACGTAGCTAGAAAGCACAAGGCGCACAACCGAAAAGTTGAAGCCAGGGTCTTTTTTGAAACAGCACAAAATTCGCAACTTGTTGTACAACGAGACGACTTCAAACTGACCAGTCTGGAGGTGAGAGATTTGGGAATGGGGCAGAAGTAGACAAACACGAACTATGGAGTTATTGGGGTTTTCTGTTTCTCGATAAGTATAAAAGTTAAAAATTAAGAGAAGACGCATCCTACCTAATCACGATCAATACGTTTTGTCTGTCATGTAGCGCAGCGAATGACCGACGTAAAATACTGAAGTGCATTGAGGTTTTAGATCAAAAGATATTGACACTCGTTGATAAACGTTCACCAATCGCTAACAGGACTCAGTCGTCCACTCTGCCTTGGGGTTCATTCTTGAGCCCCGC